CCGACGGCTCATGTACCTCTGATAGTTCTACTTGCCGTGTAGTCATTCCAAGTCACTGTAGAACCGCGCGATTCAAGCTAAGCCACATAACTTCATCTACGATGTCAGAGCTAGTGGCAATTCATAAAGCACTTCAAATCATCTTGACACAATTGCCCCACTCGTGGACAATATTTTCTGACTCCAAGCCGGCCCTCCAAGCAATATCAGCATTTTTGCGACGCGGTCAAAATGACCAAGTGGTTTTCGAAATAATGACCCTTCTTATGCAGTGTTTGGATCTAGGACACACTGTCCAGTTTCAATGGATACCAGGTCATTGTCGTTTATCTGGAAACGAGGCTGCAGACGCAGGTGCGAAGTCAGCCCATTCTCTAGATGCAACTATTACGATTCCGTATTGTCGGAATGACATTAGATGCCTTATCAATCGCCACGCCACCAGCGCAAGGAGAAATCTATGGCACGATGTCTCCTACCACTATGCCCCCCTCTACGCGTTGGACCCAAATCTTACCTTTCAACTTCCACGTGATCTTCCCCGGAGGACAGAGGCAGTCATACATCGCCTCCGGCTCGGTGTCGCTTATACACAGTCCTTCCTTCACCGCATCGGGCAAGCCATAACATCGGACTGTCCAACATGTGAATGTGATGAAACCATTGCTCACCTATTGTGCGACTGCAAAATCTACAACGCGGAAAGAGAACACCTCAAGAGTATGTTGGTGCAACTAGACAGCCGACCGTTTTCTGTCATGAAAGTGCTCGGAACCTGGGACAGCCCTCAGAAGGCAGCGAGGGCCACAAAAGCTTTTCTGCGTTTCCTAAAGGAAACGCGGCTGAGCTTCTGCCTCTAAAGGACACACATACTTTATTTGTAATGTGATCTATAGTTTGTGCTCTCGTGTCACTATTTATTTTTTTACATGTTTATTGTTCTATGTCTTCATATCCATTCCTTCCTCTTTTTAACTCCCCACTACCCCCTCCCTAAAACAGAGTAGCCAACCAGGACTCCAACCTAGGTTAATCTCTCTGTTCTTCTTTTTCCGACTCTCTCTCTCTTGTCCATCTCTAGCCCGATAGTGCGGTGGGAACTACGTTCTCGGTGGACCAATCAAACATTGCCCTTACGCCACGTGATCACCGTTCTCACTCATACTCACGTGCAAAGAGAGGAGCAGGTGATGAAAGGGAGGCGGCCGACTGGTACGGAGAGTGCAGAGCTCCCACTACACTGTCAGCTTAGGGGGAACGGAGTATGGTACGCACCAGCCTGAGTAGGTCCAAGCATGACCTCGACTTTTTCTCTCTTAAAGGGGCCCTGCAATCATATTTAAGCGTCTACCTTTTATGCGGTTTCCACGTCTCTTGGGGTTTGGGCAAGCCAGCGGCCACGGAAAGAGCAGCTAAATATCAGTGCGCCATAATTTAACCGGATGACACGGAAACCTCCTCCACCGACGAGGGTGACCCGCGGTACCGAAAGCGCGCAAAATGTGACGCCTTTGGTCCTGGGCTTACTACTATTCGGTCGAAATACAAAATATAAGTGGTGCGAACCGTTTCAATTATTCATAAACATAGTTTTTGTTCACTATTATAGATGAAAAAAATAAAGAAATGCAGTTTATAAAGTACGGAGACAAGAAATGACCCGTCAACATACCCGCCGCCAAGCGGTGGAAAAGGCGGCGCATACTAGAAAAGAGTAGTGGGATAAGGCGCCGACACGGAAAAATCCCGGATGTATGCGGTGGCGCTGCAGTCGTATGAACAGGAGGATCCGACCGGCTCCGAGCGTTCCGAAGGCCTTCGGCGAGAGGCTTTGTCTTGCGGTTTGGCCTTTTTGCAGTATGGCAGCGCGAAGTGGGCTCCCATTCTGAACTGATCTTGACCCCGTGTTTGCTGTCGCTTGTGGCCAATGAAGTGTCATGCCGAATTAGTGTTAAATCGCGCAGCAAACGCAATGAAATCCGATTTGGCTGCCCGCTGCATACAGCCTATCCAGAACATGCTTTAGTGGCGCCCTCTGGCGCCGTCGACACGGAGTGCGGCGGCCGTGAGCGCTCGATGAGCTCACTATTCCTCCTCTAGTTCACGGCCACTCAAGCCAGGACCTACGACGTCATGAAGGAGGTTATTTTTTGCTTGTTTTTGTAATTCTAAATTGCCTATAACTTTTAAAATAAAGGGAATTTCGAGAAAAGAAAAGTTTCACTAAGTTACTACGTTCAGTACGCTTAGGTTCGGTGCAAATTAAAAAACAGTAAAAAGTCCTTGCAGGGCCCCTTTAATGCGTAAGCACTAACTGTCCCATGAAGTGAAACTGGCATTGTCTTGAACCGTCTGTAGCAGCGAAACGGCACCCGGTTTTATATTGACTGCGACGCGTCATGTGGCCCAATAGCAACGGCGTCATCGCTGCTAAGGAGCCAGCCCAACTGCTGGCGGTGCAGCGGGAGGGGGGAGACACGGGTATGCACTGTCAGCCGGTACATTAAGGTTGTCCTTGGCGTCATACTTGTCGTCGATCTCTAGGACTTCGTCCTAAACTTTAATACGTGTAGAGACATTACTCGAAAACATTTCGCTCGCGGGACTACAATGATTTCGTATTTCTACATGTAAGCAGTCTTAAATTTCCTCCCGTAACTTTTTTTCTAAAAAAAAATAAAAATTACCTTTTTGTGAAAAAAAAAGCGAAAAGTCTCCGCATTTTTTTATTTTGCTTAAAGGGCCCCTAAAAAAAAAAAAGTCTTTTAGAGCGATGGTGCGAGACACAGTTTAGTTGGTGGTCAGCCCCTTTCCTTTTGTTTTCTCTGTCGGAACTTCGAGTGCGTGGGGGAGAGGTGGATCGGCTTCGCCTTCACAATGAGCAGAAGAGAGCGAAAGATTTAGATGATCATTCCGGAATGGCCCAACGTTAGGGGCTTTGCGCACAGAATTTTAAATAAATCACTCGCCGTCAATATTGCTCTAAAAATTTTTTTTCTTCACATAAAATACATTTTTTGACACGTATGTGTGTCCCAACCAGACTGTTTAAAAAAAAACTTTTCAGGGGCCCTAAGAATTGGGGAAAAGCTCGGCACGTAAAGCACTCCTTCGGTTTCTCTTGCAGTGCCCATTCTTTGCCATGCCTCTCTTCTTGAATGTTGCTGGAATATTTCCAAAAACGCATTGACATCTTTTTTTTTTAATTTCAGCTTTGTTTTGCAACTTTTTTTTTTTTTTTTATATACAGCATCGGGTTCTTCCAGAGTCGGAACCCTGGGCTGCAGCACCTTTAGCCCGTACCTTAATCCGGTCCTGAGTAGACATTATGTTTTGTTTCCCAAAGAGACGGAGCAAGCTGTCAATTCAAATGCCCAGGAACCAACTTGAGCTGCTTGAAGCGTCCCCGCGCTAAGTTTGCAGCATTTGTAAACTTTTTTGAAGAAAATGTTATTGATTGCACATAAGACCAACACCCTAAGGAGTTGGTTGAAGTTGTAGAGAATATAGATACTTCATGTTAAAAAAAAAAAAAAAGTTGCTTTAAAAACAGCTGCTCTTTGAAAGAAAAACAAATTATGAATGCCCATATTTTGTTTTTAAAATTCTATGTGGGAGATTAAAGGTTTCTCGAGTTTTAGGAGATGCGACAGGGAAGGAAGATACTCTCAAGCAGTCATCAAGATCTGCAGTCTCCTCAACAATATTTTCTCGAGTTTTTTTACGGGGGCCTCTTGGAAGTGCCACGAGCAGACAACCTTCTACACCTCTCAGAAAGCACCATCGTTCTCTCAAAGCCATCATCATCAAAGTGATGAAGCTTGCAGAGATACACTTGATCGTGGGCATAACGAGCTGCCCTGACGTTCGTATGTTGTGGTTGGTCCTTGGGCATGAAATCCCCACTCGTGGCATTCATACAAAAAATTGAGGAAACATTGTCCGAGCCAACCTGGGACGTGCCAACAGCTGCCAGTCTGTGACAGGTGAATATCCTGCAGGTCTGGAAAGCAAAGTTGGACACACAGAGAGAGAGCTGCTGCAATTTTCCAGATGTGCCAAACTTGACAATGGTACGCAACACAGAAACCAACCGCAAGTAAAATGCGTGCATTTTCCTGCAAGCACTTTTTTTAGGACTTCCATAACCTTCAGAACTAGTCTAAGCTCATCATAACAAACCTTCATTTTGACCAAGATTTCGGTGTGCTGTAAAAGGAGTATGTTGAATGCAGATATGAAGTTGAGGAAAACCAACCAAACTTTGCGAATCCGTACGTCATATCCAAATCTGTTGTAACCAGGTCTGATGTAATGAGCTTACACTGCAATGTCCACATTCGTGAGCACCAGTTTGCCCCGAAAGAAAAAACTGTTTTAAGAAATAAATTTGCTATACTCTCGACGAGAAATGTAATATGTTTGTCAGTTGGCACATTTCGAGGCAGTGCCATACAGATACCTCGGTTCTCGCACAGAACTTTTTGGCATCGCACACTGCGGACCCCAGAAGCTCAAGCTGTCAGTTTATGCGAGGAACACACTATTCAACTTGCGACAATCAATGCCTCGACGAGCATTTGGGTAGTGGCCGACGTTCAATCCCAACGACAATAAAAATACCATAACCCTAACAATGTCAAAAACTGCATGTCCCACGCTTCACCAACCCCATGACAAACATTGCAAGGAATAATCCTAAAAAGCATTTACTCTATAGAGAAAGTCATTGCACCACCCCTTTGATGAAGCGTGTTCCACACATTTTTTTTAATTCCCAGGACGGCAGTTCTTTGTATTTTTTCAATTCCTGCAACCAACCTCAGGCAAGGATAACAATTTACATTGTTCAGCAGGAAAAGGTGAGGGGGATGAAAAAGAATACTTCTTGCAACAATCGGTGCATGTAAAGAAGCGCTGAATGCCACTTGTCAGCCAAAGAGAACCTATTTAAGGAACCATTCTAAATGAAGATAGAGAAGCACACGGGAAACCCAAGCTCTTCCTCTCCCTTTATTACAGTTGAGCTCAATCGTCCTTGCCCTGGGTGCTGGTCTTGCCTCCCCTGATGCGACCGGTGCGCCTGGCAGCAATCAGACCCACCTAGGGAGAGATGAACACACCTCAGACAACAGGGACACAAACTGCCCACACGGGTGCAACCCTTTCCCCGGGCGGCTGTTCGCCACAATCTCCTGCTAAAGGGGTCATGAAAAGGAAATGCACCTGCCTCATCTCAATTTTCTAACAATCATCCAAACACAAAGATGTCGATTCCTAAGTATTACGAAGAAATATTATGTCCACATTTTATAACCCGGCAGTATGAGCAACAGAACGTCACGGTAGCTTTGTAAAAATGTTAGATATTCAACCTTATGGAATCTTCATATCATAAATTAAGAATGATAAAAACAAGTTATTGATCGTTCTTGTATTAGTTTACGATACATCACGGGATAGCGGTAGTTTCGGTTTCAAACGCGTCCGCGTCTTCTACTGTCCGATAATCACGCTTGCCATACTGCTGCTCGTCTCTTCACAGCTCCCATTCGTTGTGGATCGTGATGGTGCGTCAGAATTACAATAAAACAAAGTGAAGCAATAACTTAAAAAATTACCCGAAGGGGATTCAAACCCAAAATTCCGCAAGTCAGTAGCGGGAAGGGACACGCCAGACCTCTCTGTCATGACGGATCCAGTTTGAGTGGTTCACGGACGTATGCACAATACATTTGCAGATGTAGTCCTAGGACGTGTGATAATTTTCCTTCATTTTCCTTTGCCTTTTTCAGCAGTAAGTGGACTAAAATATGCTAGGGCTATTTATTTCGCTTATATTTCCAGTAGTGATGGGCCGAACTTGGGCCGAATTGAAGATTAGCACGTAAACTGTTTAGGAACTTGGCACTTGGGACTTTCGGAAAAGAAAAATCAAGTGCCTTTGGTTTGTGTTTAGTTTCGTATAAAGGTGCTTATACCGAGATCAAAATGAAACATTCGAAATGCACGCTAATAAAAAAGGACTTTTTTTATGTTGCCAGTTTTGCATTTGGTGCACGCACGGATGTGTGCCGAATTTTAGCCGTATCTGTGCCAGATTTCTCTCCAAAAGTTTGGCAAGTGCCGAATTTCACCGAATCCAAAGTTTGGTTGATTCGGCCCATCACTAAGTTCCAGCCTCGTATATTTTCTGCAGACGGAACAGCGTTCTTTGGGTCAAAGCTAAGACGCACTTGCAGCTCGTCGTTTACGATTGTATTAGGAAGAGCATAGACTAATCGTAAGTTGCAGACGGTTCCCTCATGGTCTCCTCTGTAGCACGGCTTACAGCTCGAAACCTAAAATCCGACCACAGTATAATGGGCGACGCTGGTGCTCAGAGATAGCCCATCTTCCATTTATCTGAGCTAAACATCCGATTTCACCCATTGACTCGAGTGTGTGACGTCATAATGGTGCCGCAGTTCGAGCATTTTCCGACGCTCTGACTTCGCTCATGAAGTCTAATCTACGTCACCATCTTCCGCACGCAACAAAAATTTCCTATTAGTTGCCGTAGTGACATATTTGCAGAACTGGGGGGAAGGTTCCCGGCAAACCGAAATTATCTTTTTACGCTAGTAGATGGAATCTGGACAACCAAACAAATGTATCTGGATTACATAATAAAGGACCAGGATTGCAAATAAGCAGGTAGTTTAGAATTTTCTAAAAACATTCCAGAACCTTTTTAACCTTACTCTGAAAATACGCTCAAGCTGCAAACAGTTTGAAGTCGCAACCGCTCCAAGTTGCACACTGCAGTGCAATCCACTTATAACGATACCACATATAAGGATGCACTTCATGTAGCGATCAGTTTCTAGAGTTTCTAGTCTAGACACAATCAGTTTCTACTCCAGATACGATAATCAGTTACAACAACTGAATTCTTGGGTTTTCTCATTATCGTTATTAGTGGATTGCATGTAATTTGGGACTTTGAAAGGACAACGTTCGTACAAAGTACCGTGGACGAGGAGAGGCGGGACCCTTACCTTGCGACCGGCGGATGCATCCCTCCTGACGGTCGAGGCCTTGCCAATGTGCTGGTGGTTGCCACCACCGTGGGGGTGCTCCACAGGCTGCAGAAAGGCACGGGTCAGAGCGAGCATTCAAATGGAGGCAACAAAGTATGTCTTTTCAAGCTCCTGTGAGCCTCGGACACTTTGGACCGACCAAAGGAGAAAGTCAGCAGCAGCTCAGAAACAGCCTCTAGAAACTTCCACAGTTGTTGTACTTCGGAAGCAGAAATCATCACGGCAGTGCTGCCTTCCCTTTGCTCCAGGTCAAATGGATGCTCAATCCCAATATGTTTAGCAATGCAATGCGATGCTCGATCCCAATATGTTTAGCAACACACTGCGTCGTTATGGCTATATGAATCGCCTAGCGAAACAAAGGTTTTTACATTTGAAAACCGAGGCTCACAGAAAGTGAACAACTTGAAGGTAACATTGCACTCTTCGACTTTGTGTCGGAGAATCTTCTATGAAGGCTAGAGTGACGCTGGCAAGCAAATGGCAAGCAATGTGCTACAAACTTTCCAAGCTAGAAATGCTAGCAAATCATCCTATTGAACAGATGCAACCCATACAAAAATTAGCTGAGAAGCTCTAGCAATAAATACAATATAAAATAAGCGAGGCATTCCACCTCGAAAGACAAATGCATCCAGTCTCACAATTACTGCCAGAAATAGGGCGAGTCCAGTTAACGTTCATAACTCATCGTTTTTTTTGCAAAACAGGGAAGTTCAATTTATATTTGATTGAATGTTATAATCTAATACCTAGCTGGAGCCCATAACACCACCGGCCAACTAGGCCCTGAGAGAAAATGAACACTATCTTCCAAGCACACCGGAAGATAGCTTCCTCCCCTTCAAACCCAGAGGGTGCGATCTCGTCTTTGCCTCAGTCATAAAATTTACTACCATTGCCCGGAACTAAAGAGCGCTCTCCCCTTATTCAGGCGGGAATATGATCCAACTGAATTACTTTTGTCCAATTACATGAGTCTCCAGCGAAACTTGCGCATTTAAAGAAAACATTCTTTTCTCATGCGACCGCTGAATGGAGCCAGCTAACATCCTTCATACTTAGTGTCATAGTCTTCTACTAGCCCATTTAAATTGAGTACACATAGAACTTTTTATTTTACACATTTTAGGTTACTGTTCTGCAGCACTACTATCCAACAAATAAACCCCCCACACTTATGTAATGCCCAAACCAGCTTTGTAAGGGCGAAATAATTGAGGGAAAGGCACTCACGTTCATGGCGACACCGCGGACCTTGGGCCACGAGTTGCGCTTGGCCTTGTACTTGTGGTAGGCGCGCCCGGCCTTGAGGATGGGCTTCTCGACCCGGCCCCCTCCCGCGATGATGCCCACCATGGCCCGGTTGGCCGAGGGCAGCACCTTCTTGGCGCCGGAGGGCAGCTTGACGCGCGTCTTGCGCGTGTCCGGGTTGTGGGCAATCACCGTGGCGTAGTTGCCCGAGGTGCGGGCCAGGCGGCCCCGGTCCCCGGCCTTCTCCTCCACGTTGCAGATCACCGTGCCTTCGGGCATCGTGCCCACGGGCAACACGTTGCCCACCTGCAAAGAACCTTGTTGTCGGCTACAGCTCTTGGCTGAGACCGGTTCATACGCTGATGACTGAGTGTCCCTCCCATGACCCCTTACGATGGGTAGAGCCTGGATTTAAAACAGGGAGCTACTTAAACGGTGGGAAGAGTTCTTAATGTAATGGTGGACGCCTCTTGCCCCAATTGGCCGCAAGTGCGCACGCGTCGCACTTGCGGAAGGCCCAGATGCTTGCGGACAATCAACGAATTTGTCTCTTCGTCCCAGCTCCTGCTGCAAATGTGGCCCATTAACCACGTGACCCTGATTGAGCCGTCAAAACTCTGAAATGTAGGCTATCGCAAATCAAAAAAGAATTTGCTCAGTTTGTTCCTGAAGCAAACTAAAATGTTGTCGAACCTGCCTTTTCCCTAGACTATAAGGGTCTCAACTATATATAAAAATTGGAGTCCATGACATTAAATCGTGCAATCTACATAGTTCGACCCAAAAGGATTGTGGCACCTCTAATTACACGCAACTTCTACGCAGTTGCCAGCAAAGAAACCGATGGCATCAGACCAAGGTGAACCACTGCTCCGGGTGAGGTTCCGACAATGTGATGCATCAACTTATTTCTCCGAACCCAACATTTCCATCGCTCGTTTTCTGCATGAGCGTGTTGTACAGGAGGGAGGACAGCAACAGCTCAGAAACAGCCTCTAGAAACTTCCACAGTATCAGTTCGGAAGCAGAAATCATCACAGCAGTGCTGACCTCCAACTCTCCAAGCAACAAACTTTGATGCCGCAGAATGAATGCTCAACTTGGGTCACTCTCTTAGCGGAAATACTTCACAATGTGCGCAACGTGGCAGTCCTTGCAAAAACTGCACACCCAAACACGCCCCCCTGCCGAACCGGAAGCGAGGAAGGCTCACCTCGAGCGTGGCCTTCTTGCCGCAGTAGACAAACTGTCCCGTGTGCATGCCCTCGGCGGCCAGGAACAGCTCCTTCTTGAGCTTGTAGCGGTAAGGGTCCCGGAACACCACCTTGGCCAGTGGGGCACCCCTACCCGGGTCGTGGATGATCTCCTGCACACGCCCGGGGAGTGAATTCACACGTCTCTCCACAGACTCGTATGCGTCGCATGCAGAGTCCACCACCGTGTGCAATAGCCACTCGATCCCACCAATTTGCACGTTTAGTACACATGGCACCGTTCCGCAAAATATATTCATAAACGCTGCTTTTAAGTATCGTTTCTAATATCTGAAATAGCCTCATCTAAGACGTCACTACCATCATCATGAAACCTCCCTCACCCTTTACAACCCTTCCCCTCCCGTCTCAGGAGCACAACTCCATAGCGGAGAAGAGGACACAACAAGGCGCCTTGTTGTGTCCTCTTCTCTGCTTTTGTTCTCGTCTTTGTTGCGCGCAAGATTGTATAAGATGTCAAACCAACTCGCCCAAACAACCACTCTTCTTCCATAGCGGGTGAACCCCTCATCAAATAAAAACATGTCTCTCTCTCTCTCTAATATCTGACTTGAGTCGGTGGCACAAACGTCGCCAAAGTGGGATACAAAACGTTTTTTTTTCCGAGAGCCGACTCATTGACCAGCTGATCAAACGAAATGCACCAAAATTTACGGTGTCTTCGATTTCTTTCGCTATGCTGGCTGCTCCGTCGTGCAGCGTCCCTACGCCTTAACGTAAGCACATTGTGAATAAGCAATCGGTGGTCTCCAAGTTACCTTGACGATTCCCTTGATGTAGCCGTGTCGCTCAGCGTAGTCCACGGCACGCAGTTTGGGTGCACCTTTCCTGTGCTTGTTGTGCGAGCGGAACACGCTGCCCGCACCCTTTCGCTGGGCTCTGATCACTCGTCCCATCTGAAAGTCAACGGGGCGTCAGGTTTGTCGGGTGCCCACATGTCACGCCGTGCTGTGTTCTGTGCAACATATCCGGCATCTGACAGAGTGTGAGCGCGTATTATTTCCTCGCGTGTGAGCACTTATTTTTTTATTACAACAAAACTTTAACATCTAAAACGTTCCCAAAATTGACTTCATTTCAATGACAAGATCGAGTCATTTGATTACAGCTTAAATAATTTCACGCCGTACGTGGTCCGGTACCGGACCACAGACATAACGGCGGATGATTTTCGGCCTTTTGCGCCAAAACGTATTGTAATAATCGGTGTAATATACAACTGGCACCTTTCTCGGTATCTGATTATTACGATGGATTATATTTTGCATTAAAAGCACGCAATATTCAAGGATTGAACAACATACCTTTACGTTCGCGTATCCTCACCGCCGAGTGAACGCGAAAAGAGAGTTTCAGCCGCTCGCACAACAGGTTTAGTGCAGTATGATATATATAAAATTAGAGTAAGTATCGCCTATCAGTAAAATATAATAAAATATAATTAGATCTACATTTTATGTTTAAAATAAAATTTGATAGATCAACGATTTATATTAGTTCAAATTTCATTCGAAACTAAACACTATGCGCTTCCGATGCATAAAGTTATCATAATGTACGCTAGAGGTTCAATTGGCGCTAGTGTCTATGCGACTTCCGTGAGGCACAGCGAAGCAGACAGCAGCCTGCAGCCTACTTTTGCGGAGCGCGCGTGCATTTTGTGTCTTGGAGGAAAATAACACATATAACTTTTGTTATTTGGGTCTTACCGATTACTATGTGCCTTTGTTCTTACGTAACGATGTCAAACTTCGTCATATTTCAGGCCCAAACCTCGATCTGTTCCATGGGTTCCATGGCAGGCATGCAAAAACGAGCGACGATTCTACGAAAAATAACAATCGAGAGGAATGTAGAGTGTGTTCAAGATTCGCCAGCATTCCGGTGGTGTTTCCGTCCTGTCAATATATGAAAATGACTCCATCGTGCATCTTTACGAGCGGTTAAGAAAAAACATTTGAAACATAAAGAATAAAGCACGTGGGCTGTGAAAAACGCGTCTTTTTTTTTTATTATTTCCTATGTCAGGCAGCTTTTATCGGGCACCTGTTCTCTGTCTTCTCCCTATTTTCAAAGATTTCGAGCGTGCTGGTGATGTTTTGAACGCATAACAAGCATCTGCGCACATATCGTGAGCAGAAAGAATAAAGCGTTACTTATTTATTGCAAATTGGACTATATTACGTGGCTTTCAATTTATTTTGATCGTCTGCATGCACAAGGAGTGACATATCCAGTGTTACTGCGCAGTTCTTGCGGTCTTGATTTTTCGCATGACTTCGTTCGTTCTGCACGTAAATTCCCCATGATGGAGAGCGCCGACGCCGTGTTCGCGCTAATAGTGTCCGAGAGTGCACACAAATACATGTACGAAACGGGTTTTAATGTGAAATCACCAACTGGGTCCCATGGAGCGAACCGGCGCATTATCAGCTTTTTGAAGCCACGCCAGATGTCACCTAAATTCCCCTGTCCTTCTTCTAAGCGTTGTGAAAGATGGGGGGGGGGGGGGGGGGGGGGGGGGGGGGGGGGGGGGAGGAGGAGGGCCAATAGTGGTTGCGCACCGGGCGCTTGGTATGGAGCGAAGACTGTAGTCTGTAGCAGCCACCCCATTGCTGGCGCGCGGTGTAGTTCCAAGGAACGCCACCCCACAGAGAAGCCCGCTCCATGGCGCAGCGGCCCCGACCATTTCTTTCGTCTGGGTGATTGACAAATGTTCCAATGGACCTAGTACGTGCCAATTATTCGTGATATTTGCTTTTATAATCAAGCGCAGGGAGAAAATTTTTGCTCGTGGTATGGTGCCTGGAGTGCATCTTCGACTGGTGTGTTTAGCGTCCTATGCTGCTCATACAGTGGTTCCGAAGTGGCAACAAATGACGTCACAGAAACCGAAGTGTCATGCTGTTGCTTGTCGCGATCCTATGCGGTTAGTCGTAGAAATGCTAAAGAGCATCAGCGAGTAGCACGAGCGTAGTGTCGGTGTCGTGACTGTTGTGTCCTTGATACGTAAGAACTCAACTTTATTAGAGTATATAAACCAGCCCGTGTGGGCTGGCGGAGATTACATTGTGAAGAGTCACTCCAACGTTCGGCGGGGACGCGCGCGGTCTCGCGGGACGCAAGGTACGCAGGCGCGCGACGTACGCGCAAAGGCTGACACGCGCCCGGTTCGGTGCTCTCCGGACGCGTGGTTCCATCTGGTGAAACCTGCGACTCCTCGGTGAGGACCGGGGCGCGAGAACTTGAATACACAACAGTCACGGCGTCCCAACTTCTGGCTGCCGAAGCTCCTGTGGACTGCCACACTGGAGAGCGACCTGCAGCAGAACAGGCGTCTGCCACATCGACCACAGCTGTTGGGACGCTGCCAGGATCGCGATGGGCGACATCATGACACTTCTATGACGCCATCAGGCGGAAATCGAGGGACCACTTTTTTGGACCCGGTAAACAGACCTGTCGGAGACGCATTCCAGGCACCGTTGGCGAGGAGATCGAACTATAGGGGGCGCTCCGACCGTTGCTAGATAAAGCCCTTCGTGTTCCAAGAGTAGCGCAAGGTGCGTCGATGCACGTGGCACGTGCAACGTGCAGCCCTGTGAAAGATCATGGCGGCACAGTGCAGCACTGAGCTAGATTTCAGACGCCACGTTCTTCCCAGAAGTGGCGCGCGGCACACCGTCTCGAGCATTTCCACAACAATGAATGGCGCCACTTTTCCCAGGATAGAGGAGCTTTATTGCTAGAGTGCCTTCATACACACGCGCGCTTTTGCTTGAGTGGTGACATCTCAGCCATTTTACCGCCCTACCGTTTTTTTTTTTTTTCGCCGGCGAGCTCACGCCGGCGGCACAGGCAACGAAAACCGCGCCAGCGGCGCACCACGTGACCCTCTCCACCCGAACACAAAGCGCCTGCAACTGGCGTTTTCGTCTGCCTGGGTCGCGCGTGAACTTCGTTAACTTCTTTCTCGATTATTTTATGATACAATAGGCACGCTGTAGGCATCAGCAACATATATTCGGACTCTGAGATGTGGGTAAACAAATTATAATATATTTTGTTTAGATTCTCGAAGAACTGTTGCTATCTTACAAGGATCCCAGAAGGCTCACCAGCGTCACCATTTTATATTCCAGTTTCTTGTTATTACCTTTTTGCTGGAATCCTCAGCATTTTGATTTGACCCAGCCTTTTAAGATAGTAATGCGCGTTCAAGTGTCGAGCTGCAGCACTATCAATACATTTTTTTCACAGCGGTGTAATAACACGCTGTGTCCCATAGGAAACTGATCTTGCGGAAGCTTCCTTTAAAATATTTTATCTTTATCTCCGTTGTTTTTGCCGCTGCCTGACCTCTTGGAGCTCGGGCAAAAATTGTGCCGGGAAATTGCCAGCACACGCCTGAGAAGTGCCACCCGAACGGCGCGCACTAGCCAGCCTTTGACCACGCGAACGCCCTTGGCGGAGATATGGCAAAATATTTTGCCGGGAAATGACCACGCGAATTCGCCATTAGCTCGAGCGCGTAGCTCTGACTACTGCATAGATGCCGTTTTACCGCCCAAGTCACGCACCGCGACAGAGCGTCACACGCTGGTACATTCAGGGCAACAATGGAGGTCTTCATCCTGAGACAGACAGACATGTAGGCACCCTATTTGCTAAAGCACCTTCATGTTTTAATAGAGAGTTTTAGTAGATCGTTCCCATGACTCCGATAACGATACCCGATACTCCGCCACCGCCTCCCTTGCGCATGCATAGTATCGTTATCGGGGCTATCGGAGGTATCGGAACGATCTACTAAAACTCTCTAATAGTAGCGCAAGGTGCGTCGATATACGAAGCACGTGCAACGTGCAACCCGGTCATGGCGGCACAGCGCAGCACTGAGCTAGATTTCAGACGCCGTGTTCTTCCCAGAAGTGGCGCGCCACGTGTCACGAGTCTTTCCACAACAATGAGTGGCGCCGCGCCACTTTTCCCAGGATAGGTGGGCTTTATTTGTTGTCCCCACACTTCGGTGTTTACCCAACACAAGGCCGGTGGACATGACCGGAGGCCTTGTAGGCATGTCCACGTCATCTTCTTCAATAGACCACGGGGGAACATTGTAACGTAAAAATACTAACAATCGCAACTTTCACGACATATAGAGGGCGGGGCGCACTGGCGCCTAATGCGCCTAACAAACTGGCTATCATCCAGGGGCGGATTTATGGGTCAGGACTGGTGGTGGCGGGGGGGGGGGGGGGGGTGCGGTAGGTTTTCCTTTTGGCCGGGGGGTGGGGGGAGGGGGGGGGGGGGTCTGCTGAGATTTGACACGGTCGAAACGTTGTTCAGGTCTATTTTGTTGACGAAATATTTGCTATGTCACCAAAAACTAAACTTTTGGCTGGTGTAAATCAATGATTTTATTTTAAAAAAGTTGACCTTGGGGTCAACTTTGAAAAACGGAAACTCGTGAATTAGGAAAAAAAAAGGGGGGACAGACAACGGTATTAGAACCTTGTTTTATTTTTTCGCGTGAGGAGGGTGAAGGCAAGCACTTCTATGGTGAAGCCAATTATCCAGGAGCTAGGGAGCGCGATTCTCACACCGTGGTACCACCATCGCTGAAAGTTGCGGGATCTCTTTCGAAGGCAGTCGTCAGAGGGTGCGGGCTCGACCCACTTGGGCTTGTTCATGCATGCTGGAGTGGTAAGCCCCTCCTCCTCCTCGGACGTCCAGAGAACACGAACTCCAGCCGAACGCTGATGTGGCGTTCGGTTACGCCATCCGACCGCTGAGTTATTGTTGTCCCCATCCGCGTAGTTCTAAAGTTAGCCGCTTGGGGCGCCACGGTCTGATCTCCTCCCCATATTTGAAGGTGCTGATTCGTGAGCTTTTGGCCTTTTATCCTCAACATTGCTATCGGATGTAGCAGAAGACAAAACGTCGAAGCTGTAGGCACTCTTGCGGGAAGAGTTCACTCGAGAAAAAAAAAAAAAAAGAGTGGGTGAGGATGAAAGGGGGGGGGGGGGGGGGGGAGGGCTTTTAGTTCCGCTTTTGTAGAGGAGAGAAGCTAAAAAAAGAAAAATTTGTGTTGCTTGTATGTTTATACCGCCTTGATGCTAGCTAGTACGCCTCAACATGTGACCTGCCTTTTAGGTGTAGATGAAAAATCTAGCCAGAGCGGTACAACCGCTAGCCTGAGGTTTTTAACGTGCATCACGCAGTAGTGATTACACGAACGCGTGCAGGTACGAAACTCATCTAGACCGAAACGGGCAGGGCTGGGGATCAACCCAGGAGGTTCGGCAGCGCAAGCCTTCGCTCCACGCTGCGAGACGCGTTTTTCCCCCAGGAGGGAGGCTCGACAAAGTCTTCGCTTTTGTAATTCTAAAAAACACGCAAACAACGTAAAAAAATTTAAAAAACTTTGCT